GCCCTGCAATCACAATGTTTGACCCTGTACTTCTGAAGGCTAAATGAAAAACGGTTGATGAGGAAGATTTGTTTGTCAATTGTAATTATACTTGATAAACAGAAAAGTCTTAGTTTTTCCAGTGTGTTGGGGTCCTGCCAGTAAGCCCGTGTTCTCCCAGACTCTGCAGTGGGTCTCATGGGATATCTCCTACTGGTTCTTTCTCTTCCTTCTTTTCCTCAGAGGACCACGTTTTCTGTTTTGTGCAGGAAGTTCCCACTGGTCTTGAGTTCCCCAGCTACGGTTGGAAAGACATCAGAGTGTCCAAGGCGGAGTCTGGGCCTGCCATCTCAGCAGGCCAGACAGGCAGCAGATGGTTGTTGCTTGTTTTGTTTTGTATTTACTGTTCCCTTGCTTAGAGTTTGGGGGACCAGAACCAAGAGGCTATTCATAGGGTGAGAGTAAGTTTACTTCTGACAATGATGGGGCTCGGGGTTATTGGGTGTTTTGTGATTTGAAACCAGCTGTTTGTTAACCACTAACTCTTACCTTATTCTTTTCTTGCAGATGAGCTCACAGTGCCTGCACTTTACCCCAGTAGCCCTGAAGTGTGGGCCCCGTACCCTCTGTACCCAGCGGAGTTAGCGCCTGCTCTACCTCCTCCTGCTTTCACCTATCCCGCTTCACTGCATGCCCAGGTAATTTATACCCATCGGCCACGACTTCACTCACTCCACCACCAGTCCTTTCAAACCTGGTTCCCCAGAGCACACCATACAACTAACACCTACCCAGCTAACAGATCCACTTTCAAGAGATTAATGATCCCCTCTAAATCAAGCTGACACTCCTCCAGGACTTACGAGGACCGTCTGACAGCAATGATATCACCCACTGCCTGATGTTTGCCCCAATTGACACCTCTCTCTTCCCTAATGATTTCACCCTCATATCACACATGAAAGACTGGGGCAAGGTTACCTCCCTGGCTCCCAGCTAGCTAGAGGACATCGCCAGAGTGTAGGTGTGTGTGCCTTGTCGTGTGGATGGTCTGCAGAGGGAGGCATACACTTGTAGCAGGAGTTCTGTGCGTCTGCATGTGTTGCTGTGTATTGAGAGATTTTTGCTTTTGTGTTGTATGAAAATCTAGCAATCAAAGGGGAAGCTTCCAAGAGGAAGACTTTACGCTTTCTTACATATGGTACAGAAAAGATTAAGGGTTCCTTTTTTCGCATTTTTAGGAAGCCTTATAGAAAAGGAGATGCAATATAGTGTCTAGAATGTAATTAAAGTTCAAGTTAGAGATCTCTGTTCTGACCAGCTTGCTTTTAAGAATTGCCTAAGTTTTATAAACAAACTCCCTTGATTCTCCACAAAGATTACTGTCTACATACTAACACTTTTCTTCCCCTTGGAGAAAATGTTTCTTTTAGCTTTGCTTTTAGTGCAAGTAGTGGTAATCAATAGCAAGAGTCACCTTTGGAAATAGCCACTCATTCTTTGGCCCACAGAGAGTGATGATCAGTAGTAAACAGACAGGACGTAGTATTTCATTTGTCTTACTGCATGTGTAACTCAGCCTGGTTTTTTAAAAATTGTCAGGCTGGAAAGGTGGGATTTTTGTTTGTTTTGTTTAGTGTTTATTTACATGGTTGGATGAATAAACAGTTTGCAGAAAACTCTTCTTTCTGACTTAAAACTCTTTTATGTTCTACAGAACTCACTATTTTAAGATACCTACAAGCAGCCCCCAGTGAGGGTTCTTGAAAGCCATAGGGTGAGGAGTGTTGTTGGCTGGATATTTTTTTTTTCAGCTGAGTTTTCAATGCTCTGTGTGTATATTGACGACCTTCCTGGGGCTGCTCTCCCAGTTGATCCAGACACCATACGGGCAACTACAAAGAGAAGCCCTTGGTGCCTGGGCCCCATAGCGATTACCGTCCGTGCTGGAAGGAGGAGGTAGGAAGCAGTACAAGGAGAAGAGAAAAACGTGCATGGTGGTAGTGAGTGCACTTGGCACCGAAAATAAAGCAGCAGGATTAACTGTGCCTGTTGCTTTCCCTCCCCCTGTTGCCTTTTCTACTTTTTGTCCATGTTGGTGCTTGGTAACCCTTACAACTGGTAGGTAGCAGGGGAGTTGCACTTGGCACCGAAAATAAAGCAGCAGGATTAACTGTGCCTGTTGCTTTCCCTCCCCCTGCTGCCTTTTCTACTTTTTGTCCATGTTGGTGCTTGGTAACCCTTACAACTGGTAGGTAGCAGGGGAGTGAGAGGGTATAAAACGTAAACTTGGGGGTGTCTTTTGCTGAGTCATCAGTATGTCTGTAGTGTGCTGCAGATAACTTTGTGGATGACATGGAGCTACTAAAAGAGCCCCTTTTGTTTGTCCTCCCACCCCCACCCCATCTGTAGATGATATGTCTTCTCTCCTCTCCTCTTTCTAGAATGCCAAGATTCAGATCAATTGGCAATTAAGACAAATATTAATAAGTGCCATGAAACAGTGCAAGTTTGCATAGTCTTCCCAACATCCATGGGTTTGGTTAATCAGCAACAAAGCCTTTCACCATTACCCTGGATAGTCAAGAGTTGATAATGGCCACCAAGGACTGGAAATGGTGGCTGTTGGCCATAACATCTGTCCTTGCTCCATTCATGTAAGGATGAAATCAGAAATGATTCTGGGGATATGGTGGGAGAAGGACCCAAAGAGTTTTAAGAGATTAGAAAGCCTGTGCCATTACAAGGAAGGATGGAGAGAGACAGTGCCAATATTAGGTGGACTCAGCCGTTTGACTTAATGGGATGCAGTGCCCATGTTGGCACCCGCCCCCATGAGTGTTTCCTTGATCTTGACACTTTCTCAGCCTAGAATCAACTTGGCTTTGCCACATCCATCTTAGATTTGGTGAGATACATGTGTTCAACCCTGCTTCTTGTTTTTCTTGCTTGGAGTCATTCCCAATGTAGTCTTGGACTCTATATCCTAAAGATTTCATGGAAAAGTAATGGTTATGTAAACTTATTTTTCTAGTATAAGAATCATAGAATGAATTGGTAGAGGCTTTACAGTCCCAATGTAGTCTTGGACTCTATATCCTAAAGATTTCATGGAAAAGTAATGGTTATGTAAAGTTATTTTTCTAGTATAAGAATCATAGAATGAATTGGTAGAGGCTTTACAAATCAGCTGGTCTGACCCATTTTACAGATGAGGAAACAGACCTGAGAAGATGGAGAAAGTTACCCAAAGTCGGAAGTGGCTGTACCATGCTAGACCCAGTTCACCTGACTCCCAAGCCTTGCTCTTTCTACTCTGAGGTGTTTGCTCACCAAAGACTTATTCCTCAGTGGAACTTTGTCACTCCGTCAACTCCTTGGATCTTTCTTCTCTAAGTAGATGGGAAGCCTGTAAGAAGATACTTGGAGGCAAAGACAAGGGAATCAGCACATAACCTTCACCCAAAGGGTCTAAGAGAATCTTTATTAACTGACGGTAGGACAGAGAAGGGAAAGCCCAAGTGGAGCATCTCCCCTTAGTGGATAATTCAGTTTTTGTTCTGGAAATCTTATAATGTCTTTGGAGAGGCTTTTAAGTAATTTTGCTTTTCTTAGCAATGTTGTGCTCTGTTTTGAGACATGGATTTTTTTTTTCTTCTAGTGTTTCTCTCCTGAGGCAAAGCCCAACACACCTGTCTTTTGTCCACTTCTCCAGCAAATTAGATTTGTCTCTGGGAATGTGTTTGTAACATATCAACCTACTGCAGACCAGCAGAGGGAGCTCCCATGTTGAATTTGTTAGCTATTTTTTCCCCCTTTGCAAAAACTTTCTTGGTGCATTTGAGAGATTTCAATAAAAATTTTAATCAGAGCAAAAATGACCTCGAGTAGACTACGGCGTTTTGTTTTCACGGTGTTACAATTTCGGAGCTAAGGTGTTAATCTCTGACTGAGATTTCAGGGGAACTGGGCCCATAGCACTAAATATATTTTGCATAGGAAAAGGACTCAGAAGCATCCTGGGGTGACAAGGCACCAGAGCCGAGGCCTCCTTGCTGCTGCTTGTGTCTTCTTGGGCTCCTGAATCACCAAGAGCTGCGTATTGGAAGATTCTCACTTCAGCCTCCATGGGTCATCTATCAGATCTCTCTTCAGCAGAGATGGTGTGTCTAGCTAGTGGAAGCCTGTCTGAAACAAATGGATGTGTTTTCCTGTCTGCCCGCTGTGTTCCAGAGAGGAAGGAGGACCCAAGAGACAGAAATTGCCACTGAAAAGGAATTGAGTCACATTTCTAATTCTGCCCCAGCTTTAGTTGTTATCTGGTGCCCCCTCAGATTTCCCAGCTCTAAATTGAAGATGCTTATTTGCCTTAAATCCCATTTTTTAGAAATTATTGGATAAGGTAGTAGGACTGTGAGCCTCAGTAGTGCTTTGTTTTTAGAGATGAAGGAGCAATTCTGCAGCAGACATCTGATTTCTAAGAAGATCATTAACATTTTTAGAATTCATCAT